TGTGACTTCACTGATATAATAAATCTATCCACAAACAATTGATTGTTCATTGCCGCGAATGTGAGAAGTCAAAATCACCGAACTCGTGAAAATCGATCAAAATTTCAAAGATCGATATTATATTCATAAACAAAACACCGGTGAGCCCGCGCTCGTATCATTCAATTACTCGTACATTCACAAAGTCGGCGTTCTATCGAGTTTCCTCCACAAAGAGCTGATTCTACTGAGATATACAAGCTAATAGAATAGCTAAAGTCGCTTTTGTGTTCCCAACGCACACATTGCTTACTTGTTTCGGGATAGCGTATTTCAATTTTGTACCAACGACGATAATAACTTTAATACCTACTGTAAAAGGAGCACTGTGTACTGAATTATTTTGAAGGCAAAGCGTCAGACTGAGAAATTTTACAATAATTCATTTGTCACAGCACCTACCTATGCCATTTGTTCTTGTACGTCTTACTGGCTGGCGTGGGGATTTTATTTTTGTAATTAAATAAATGTTTGTTGAATGAATGATATGTTGCATTGGCATAATATTATTTTATTAGTTATTGTTAGACTTTCATATAGGATTTTTTAAAACTGACATATCAAACTCCTACATAAAAATATAGTGAACTGTTTTCTATTGCCTCAAATGCAAAAGCAACACGCTACTTAATGATTTCGTGAAAATTAAAATAAAAAAAGTGTACATATCTTCTGTTGACTATTTGCCTAATTGACTTTAAAACTTGAATAGATGAAAATGATCCTTCAAAATTTTGCCGAAGAGTCTAATAAGGCCATCGATTAAGAGTTATTATCACAAACCAGAATAATAAATTTCAAGAATATTAAATGCGCCATGAATGATCATAAATATTCAGTAGATCATTACAATAAAGACTAGAGAGTTAATACAATTTATCGAGTAATTTTAATTATTTCGATTAGAGTTTTGTTGCTATACTCTTGGGCGAGCGGTCAAAATATACTTCACATATATACATATTTAACTGTATCCTGGGAGTTGAGATTAATTAAGTTTCTAATGAAAGTGTTTCAATTACGAGGGTTTGTCGATTCGGAATAACATCAAAGCTAATATGAACATAAAGCCTAAATTTGAATTACTATTACAAAATAACATTTGGCGAATTAAAACTTCATTTAATACTTTGATTCTGATAAACAGTTAAAGTACGCAGCTGATATGACAACTGCCGTTTTCGATGATAACTGGAAATATGATTAAGCATTTTAATGATTTTTGTTTAAAAGTAAAATTTTAATCAAACGTTACGTTATCGTAGGAATTGGTAGACCTAGTTTGCGTTAACAAATACTCAAAATACGTCACATTACTTGGAATTAAGTGTAACAGACTGCAGGAATAATATTGGTGCTGCTGATGTAGACAACTGTAAGAGAAACTAAAGTGATATTGTCTTCTTCCGAACTAGGTGTTCTTAGCCCTGGAAGATCGCGGTTCAACGTATGCTGGTGAGAAGCAACAAACAAATACGCAGCACTAAATCACTAGTATAATACAAAGTCGCTTTTTCTGTCCCTATATATCTATGTTTGCTTAATTCTTTAAAACTACGCAACGGAATTTGATGTGGTTTTTTTTCATAGGTAGGGTGATTCAAATGGAAGGTTTCATGTACAATACAGGACGCGGACGCAGCGGAGCCGCTGGCGGAAAGCTAGTAGCTAATAAAATAAACAATGTTTGTTCTATCAGTTTCGTTTATACGTTAAATTTTACTTTCATGCAAAAATAAAACTTAATTTATTGTTTAAATGTTAAAACGCGCAACACCATTAATGCCTAAAAGTAGAAGCGAGATAATATAAAAAATACTGATCTCTTTAATAAACATGAACGCTCTGGCACGATATTGGCAACAAAATAATTTTATTCTTTAATAAGAGGTACTTAATCTTCCTTTATTAAAAAGTAACAGTATCTAAGTACAATATTTATATACGAATTTCTGAACAAAATAAGGAAAATACACGTTGATAGAATAAGTTGTTATACTTGTATTGTTAGTTAGAGTTGGTTTATTTCTTTTTATATGACGTTCGCAGTTGTGGTCTGAGATTTGTTTGTTTCGAAGTTAAATTCTCGCTGGTAATTTCGGACAAGAATTTTATTACTTATTCACACACTTTCCTTATTTTATACCTTTTTATGTACGTGTATTGGTACCCATTATATTCGAAAAAAGGGTAACGTTTAAATGTGTCATAAATGTTGATAATTAATATGTTCTTTTTTTATTTTGTGTATCTCTAAAAATAATCAATAAAAATATTTTACTGTCTTTCTTTTCTAATTGGCTAATTATCGTATCATAAAACAGTGTAATTACGATGGCTTGGTCGATTTTGTAATAATTGCGCGTTGCTCTAATTCATCGGTACCACAACACACCGCTCGCGTTGCTGTGGACTACTGAGGATACCCAAAAGAAATGTTTAGCTATAACAATCGTACGTTCAAACTCACCGCACGTGTATTAATTAGCCATTCTTTGGGCTCGTACGATTACAATCAATTGTCATTTCAGTGCAGTTTCACAGCAGTGGATTTAACCACATTTATGCGTGTTAACATGTACATTTTTCAAATACTAATTCAAATTTTGCGATCTGATAGAATCAATTTCATGGGTGTTTTATTGAATGATACATAAAACAATAATTTAATACTACTACATATGATATATTAAAATACAAATTTGTCAAAGAGTCACTAATGACTCCTGTAAAGAGTCAATAACAAAAAAATCACTGCTCCAAAGAGACTTGTGTGCTTCATCTCGTCGTACGACAAAACCGCATCGTTTACAAATTTGCGGTCTGCCGCTTATTTCGGAATGGGACAGGTAGCTCGGGAGAGCTCGTAAAGCACTCTAACGAATTGAATGTGAAAATTAATTTAAGTTTGTCTGAATATCGAAAAATGTAAAAACTTTATCATATTTCTGAGTATGAAACACTGAGCTAAAACAAAAAGTACAAAACTACCTCTGAATTTTAACAAAATATTTATTTGAAATAAAAATATCGTTTAATATAACTTACTATATAGCTTAGAGTTGCCACGAGCGGTTTCATTATAACCACAATGGTCATCGGGTACTTATCATTTGAAAATATATATTTTTTTACATTTTATTCCGCTCAATAATGACACAATGTGTCATTGAATTTGTTCCTCAATTTCTTCCTCACTGAATGTCTTCCGTTTGACTTACGTGAGACTATGATTATTAAAAACATAATGTTTAAATACAGTTGAGGAATCGACCCATAAAAACCCACCCATAAAAAGGCAAATAATACGATCTGCATAATTACCGCACTATATCTTGGTTATCCATGGCGTTAAAAATTATAGAGAAAGCTATGTGTAATAGATTATCCTCGTATTATAAAAAATATAACATTTCTGATAATGCTCGAAAGGATTTAGAAAAATTCGTTTTACAACCTCAGCAGTTTTTAAGTACGTACAAGAGATTTTGGAAATATGGTATTGCAAACTTTACGCTACAGGATTGTTGCTAGATATGTCGAAAGCCTATGACAAAGTTTTATTTAAGGTTTTACTTGATAAACTATATAGCATCGGTGTAAGAGGAATGGCGCATAGGTGATTTACGTCAATTCTACAAAATAGAAAACAGTATGTTGAAATCGAACACTTAGACGAAAATACTGGAGAAAAGAAAAACATGCATTCTGAGGTACATACTGTATATTACTCCATTCCATAAGGCAGTGTGCTTGTATGTGTTTTGTTTCTACTTGATGGTAACGACCTCCCCAAGACCATATTAAATGACTCTTATAGATTATTTGCAGATGACGTATGTGTTTTAACTTCGCGTTCCGACTTTAGAAAATTGAATGAAAAATTGACTAACATTTTAAAATGTTATTCCGGAGTGGACGATGGAACTATTAGAAAATTGAATGAAAAATTGACTAATATTTTAAAACGTTGTTTCGAACCGGACGTGGATCTCAATTTAGAAATTAATTTTAGTAAAACTTCAATCATGCAATTTAGACCTCGTTAAAACAAGCATTTAATATGAAATTCATATACATAAATAATCTATTAGACCTGACCGTTAGGCTTCTTGGGTTAAATATAGATAGCAATGTAAACTGGAAGAATCACTTACGAAGAATTAAAACAAAACCATTCTTTTTTCTTTACACTTCAAGGGAAATAAAAATAAGCTGTAATTTCAACTCGGCAATGGTTACCTATTACGCATACGCATCACGCTTGGCTCTCTTATGGAATTATACTCTGGGGCAATAGTACCGACATACAGAATGTTTTGGGAACAAGTGAATAAGAATCCTTGCTAACATAGACACTACATGTAGTTGCAGACCGTACGTTAAGCTTTTTAAGATTCTATCAGTAACTTCTCTATATAAACTAGAACTCTGTAAACTTGTTAACAGATATCCTGATTTTTTTACCAAAAAAAAAAATCCAGAAGATACCCCAGCAGAAATAAGAATTGCCAAAATTGAAATTATTTTTCCAAAATTTTCAACAAATTATCATTGTTTGAAAAGCGAAAATAACATAAAACATTTATAACAAATTCTAATAGAAAATCTTATTATAATGTACAAGAATATTTAATGAAAAATTATCAATAATAATATTTACCGTCACCACGATATTTTTATTTTACAATTACAAATTAATATTGGCGATATTCATTTTGACATTTGTGATTATTATTATTTAATAAAAAAATACAATTGTCATGAAATCTATTAATTTTTGTTCTATAATGCTTAGTGTTAAAAGTAAAAGGTAATGTGTTATGTGCATGTAAATGTCTATTGTATAATGTTCCTGTGCCCTGACAGGGCTCATATTATGGTGCTGTGCATGTGTAGAATATCTTATATTACCAAAACAATTGCAATAAAGAATTGAATTCTAAACTTGTATCACTGACCGATCTCTTTTGATGATGGTGTTCCAACTTCATGGTGGCGCATCTGTTGAGAGCAGTCAGCCGTCTGAACAGCGACTGCAGCGAGTCCGCGTCGAGGAAGGGGTGGTCGTTCTGTACGCCCGACACGTCGATAGGGAACTGCAGATCTACGGACGAGAAAATTAAATTATTTAATGTCAACAGCTTATTTGCGAATAAACACACAGAGAGCTGTTACTTTTAGGTGAAGCTATTTTTATTTTTTACATCATGCCATTTTGTAATGACATCATCAGCCTAATGTCCAAACTGCTGGGGCAATAGATATATAGATCGAATCTGATCATATAGGGAGAACGAGCTGTGATCCACCACGCGGCCCCAATCTACAGATAAAGCCAAGATCAACAGCATAACGTGCCTTCTGAAGTACGGAGGAGCTAGACTATAAATATTTGGCCACTCATCCCATGTCCAGTTGCTGTAGGTTCTCGGAGGTTTATGATCGGCTCTTTACAAGCTTTCTTTCTCAATATACCTACAGTTTATATTTTATATTAAGATATAAAATATCATAAAGATTTATTTTCTTTATTAATATTCTATTAACGATATTGATCATGTACGTAAATTTTTTATTTTATTTGTACACAGTACAGCGAGCAGAATTTATAGCAGAAGTAAACGGTTGATAACCGATCCGATATCAGTAAACGCGTCAGATACTTAATAAATTACAATAAAAAGGGGGAAATGTCATTTAAAATGACCAGTAATAGAAGCTCAGCTATTGCGCAAACTTCAGATAAGCCCCCACTGCTGGGAATAAAGAATTTAATATCAGATGGTAGCTTTAATGTTTTGATATTCGCACGCAACTGATCATCAATAGCGTTTCTGTAACGGTTACGTTTCGATTTTTGCTGTAAATTTGCATTCTGCTAACGTCAATTATCAAACGAACGTTTACTAAATTGAAACGTAATCGTAGCCGAACCAAACAGCTGTCATTAGTGTTACCAGAATAAAATAAATGAAATTATTAGTTAAACGGGAGACGATTAATGATTATTCATTTTTTTATCACTATATAATGAAAGTATTACATTTGTATTCGATCGTTTTAAAATACGGACGAAACACCCGAATATTAGCTACATTAAGAAAGTGCATACCTAAGTGTTAAGCTATAAGGGAAAATACCCGAAACGCGAATTTATAATTAATATTTTTATCATTATGGGTATTTGACACTATAAAAATAAGTTGCGTATTATTATCATCATGTTAGATAATAATCTAATAAAAGTTTATTTCTTAGAATCTGTAGATTTTAACAATTATATTCATCGAAAATAGAACGGATTCTCATGTAATATATTGACAGTGTGTTTATAATGTATCAAACAACTATTTTAATTAATTAATTTTCAGAAAAGCGTCATATACCCAATTCTATTATTAAGCACTCAACTTTAAACATGCTTAATATTTAAAGCATAAATCCGATATAATTAAGTCTTTTAATTAACAAAAAAAGTCAGATGAAATACTATAAATCCTGGCGTCAACTAAAGATAACGTCAAGCTTAAAGAGTTAAGTTTCAAAATTCAAATGGTGTTGGTTTATTTTATTGTTTATACCGAGTTTTAATTCGCAAAATAAATGTTATTATGTGAGATAAAGTAGCATGAAAGTGAATAATATGATTCCGTAAAATAAAACGGTACCTACATGGGTAGGTCGTGAACAGAAAAGTTTTGACTCATTTTCAGTCACTAACAAACTGTAAGAAGTGAGGTATGCAATCAGTCCAAGACTAAGACGAGCATTAATCCAGAGGTGTATACTTTACTTTAAACAACTCCGTTTCAAAAGAATGTACAACAAAAATAATCATTAAATTTATACATTTGTTTGTACTAAAAATTAAATGTTAAAGTAAAATGATGATTGCATATGACTTTAGTAACTTCAATCCATTTAAACAGAATTCATTAAACTTCATTGAATATCATCAGACTTCATCAAACTACATGGACTTAGTTGAACTTCATAGTTCATATTGTGACTTTATGGGACTTCATTAGGTTTTCATATAACATTTCCAATCACGGGCATTGGAAATTACATAATAATAATAATATATATATATATATATATATATTTATTTATTTTGGCGTTGTTGAATCAACAACCGTAGTAGTCCATAAAACTTAGGTAAAATGCAAAATTGCACCAAAATTAACTAAAAGTATATTAAAGTTTTTTTATTCAATATGATAATGAATGAATTAATCGATTATTTTCCAATCGATGTTTGATTTTCATATTGCAACACCAATTCACTTTTTGTCAATACAAACCACAACACAATGATACAGACAATGTTTTAATTAATCATTCATTCATTACTTTTTCATTTTACATGTAGAAATTAATTTTTTCACTGACTTTGGCAGAATTGTGTGAAATGCGCAGATATACCATCAATAAAAGAAGAATGAAATTGACAAAATTGAATTGTAAATGACAATTTAATATGGGATATCTACTAAAACAATCCCCATATGTGTATTTTTTTGTAATATTAAACTGTAATAGGAAGTGAAACATTATTCTGGAAAATATTATTTAGAAAATTAATTTTATAAAATAATTCATACCATGTATTGGCTACGCACGTGAAATTGGCAGAATTATGCGAAAGCCCTTAATAAAAGAAGAAGTTTTCGATTGAAAACAAAATATTCATACGTATCAATAACTTAGTGAAGAAGATAAACGATAGTCGACTCAAAGTAGACATTTAAGAGAGAATTATTGATGATGAAATGAATCCAATATCTTTCGAAATCTGGCTATACCTACATCTGTACACCGAATCAAGCAAGGCAACATAATATATACTGTGGAAAATCTATTCAAGATTAAATTTCAAACAATGTTTGTTATAGAAACCCATTAGAAATGTCATTATTGACTAGATATTATAAGTAAGATCAGAGAAAATTATTAATGATTTGACATATCTTTCACATTAAGTTGTATACAAATTAAATTCTTGTAGTTGCATGGATCTGCTCGCAGCTGTCATCCATGCTGACTATGAGCAAATTAAGTACAAGTTTCAACTGATATAAAAGAACTTACACATATAAATTCCTGCCAAATTGAACAAGAGCTCCTGATTCACAGGCTTATTTTTTTTTGTTCTAAATTGTAACCCATCATAGCGTATGACAGTTTTCTTTGGGTTAAAATTGGTGGTTGGTTTTAACTTTGTGTCGAAAACAGTAGAATATGTATTTTTCATGTAGCTAATACTAATAAGCCTGAACATTTATCTTGCACGCAACTTAATATATGGTTACAGAAAGCCTCATGTTATTTCAAATGTTACATAAAACTGAGCTGAGGCTAAGCTCAATTTTATGTTATTTTTAAAATTTAAAAATAATTCAGAATAAAATCTTATAAACACCTGTTTAACTTGATATTCCTTTAAACATATGTTGTAATAATCCTTTATAATATTATAATCTCCAAATAAAAAAGTGAGTAATACTTATGTCAGAAAAAAAATATTCATAATTATAATTTTTTTAATTAAGATTATTATTTGATCATATTTTCTTTTTAATGGTATTGATAACATTTACACCCCTGTCTTCATAAATTGTTATCTCTCTCTTTCCATCCAATGGTTTCCTGGAAGAAATCGTTTTAAGCGATAAGGCCGCCAATTGTTACATTATTTTGTTAAACTGTTTTAAATTTGTATACCTATATAACTTGTGTAATGTTAACAATAAAGAATTTTCTATTCTATTCTCTATAATGGTATTATTAATATAGTTTTGGTGAACTTCCTAAACATAAATGAGCATATGCTCACTAGTAATGCAAGTAATTCTTAAATTCACAAAACCTGCTGGTTACCTGGTAGTTAAATTGGTTTTAGGAGACGCCCAGACTGTGAGTGTTTATGGGTTCAAATCCCACCTCAAGCACTAATTACTTGAAGTGGGTTTTTTAATTATTTTCCTTTAAGATAAATATCAATATAGTATTGCAAATGCAAAAGTGATCAGAAAAAATAATGATAAATTAATTAATTTGTAAACAATGACTTTTTCAGTGTCATTTTTATTGGAATTCCACACATGCTTGTAAATACAAACTTTTAAGTTTTCCTGTAAAAATACTACAATAGTTTACTTTTTTCAATACAAAATATTCAAAAATTCATGTTTTTATAATCATAGATAAGTTTACTTAAAGCCAAAAGCCCCTACAATCTAATAATGATTTTTACAATGTTCCTATTTTATAATTATGTAAAGTTTTAACAGAAATATAATTTTTCGATTTTAATTTACATTACATGCCTCAACTAGGTGGACCTTATTTATGTTAAGAATCTACATAATATGAATTCAACATTTCAAATTGAGAGAGGAATGAAAACCTATTAATTTATCTATAAAATGTAAGTTTTTAATAAAAAATAATAATTTAAGAATAATAATCAAGATATAATTTATTTTATTTTTAAAGTCAACATTTTTACATATCAATAAGCAACCACAAATAAAATTAAAATTACAGAACTATCTATAACAAATAGATGAAATGGTGTACATAAAAAGTTTATTAAACATATGCATGCACTATCACACTTGTTTATCTAGCTCCATAGTTTTCGATTTCATTTTTTTTCTAGTCATTTTACATAATTTATATCACATGGATTGCTATGTTCTCATGAGGTAGATGAGGAATCTGGTGTTTGATACCCAGATTTTATATATTTACTTCAGACATCAGGGTGCTCATTGAAAGTATCCTTGTATCTTTGTGAAATAAATAATATTGGATAGAAAATTTTATATGCTTGAAGTGCTAGACAATTAAAGATTAAAATTTTTGGTACCTTAATATAAGGTATTTTTATAATTAATTAATGATAAAGCAAACATATCAATGGATTTACACAACTTATTATGTTCTTTACAGTCTATTGATAACTCACTCACAAACTCTTAAAATGTAGGAATTAAGAGTCACAGTGGATTGGAGTTATTAATATATTTCACATTGTAAATACATAAAAGTCAGATGAGAGTAAAGAAAAGAGTGACATAAAAAACAATAAACTGTATA